GGCCACTTGTGGTAAGAAAAGGAAAAAAAGAAATAAAGGAATGAATCTTCTGCTAAAACATGGAACACATACGCCGCCATATGTTTTGTCTTTTGTGCAAGTGGTGACGACTGAAGCAAGGCCATCGGACCACACAGAAAAAACAAAAAAACAAAAAAACAAAATAACAAAAAAACATAAACTTTTCGTCGGAATTGGAAACAAAAGAAATTGAGGAATGAAGCTTCTGCTAGAACATGGAACACATACGCCGCCATATGTTTTGTATTTTGTGTTGGTGACGAGTGGAGCAAGGCCCTTAGGGCCACTGCTCGTAGGAAATGGAAACAAAAGAATACGTAGTTGTAACTTGTAACCCATAACTGCTCGAAAGCAGACCTAACTTCGGATCCAGAACATATATTGCTGGCCTACTCTTCTAATGTCCAAAATTGGCTGAACATCTCTTGAGATGTTGGGACCCTTGCATATGTACTGTCGGGGTCCTCTGCCAAAAAGAATATTAAAAAAGGAATAGACGGGACCTATTTCTTTTTCTGTGGGGAGGTGCATAGTTGGCTACCTCAGCCAGCCCCGCACCCCCGCCCCCGCTGCCAGCCAACCCCGGCCCCGCACCCCACTAAGCCCCGGCTCCGAACCCCGCTGAGCCCCGCCCCCGGCCCCGCGCCCGCACTACCCCTGGCTCATAAGGGTGGGGTGTAGCCCCGGGGGGGGCCCGAAGTTGGGCCAAAACTGCAATATTGCAGTTTGGCCCAGGGGGTGCAGCCTGCGGCTGCGCACCCCCCTGTTTTTTTTTGTTTTTTTTTTTGGATTTGTTTTTTGTATTTTTTTTATTTTTATTTTTTTTTACTTTTTTTGTCGGGGCCAGGGGTGCCGACCTCCAGCCCCCGGGACCCCCGTCGGGGCCCCGGGGCCGGGGCTTGACAACCCTGGTTGACGCGGGCCATGACGGACTGTGGGCGCGGGCGACCCTGACGGGTACGGGAGGACTAAGCGGGGTGACGACTTCGTGGTTGGTGCGCGACGACGGACTGTCCGCATCGGAGAAGAAGAGAGAGAGGGAGAGAGAGTTGAGGTGGATGGACGCGGATTTGCTGATTCTTTGTCTTTTCCCCCTCCCTGCCTGTGTACATAAATTTTGAATTGCGGCCCCAGGCGATTCGCCTGTTTTTTTTTTTTTCCTTATGTTTTTCGAAACCCGGACTTGGATTTTTGTGCTCACACTTGTCTTTGCGATTCCCCTCTCCAATGCATTATGAATGCATGAACGCCATGTTTCGATCGTTTCTGATCTCTGTTCTTGCCTTTGGGGTACCGTGTGTATGATTACTGAGGATGCGGATGTATGGAGGCCATGCTTGCTTGTTTACATTTTGCGGGGAATCTTTTGTCTTTGCGTTGTCCGTCGCATTCGATGCACACATACGTAGAATAGGAATTTTGCGCAACTGATGATTCTGTCCGTGTGTTTGCTTGTCTTTGGATCAAGCTGTTTTGTGATCACTGCATCTTGCATAACCAGAACGTGCCGGAGTGATTAGATGGTCAGATACCGGGCTCAGTGAACACCGCGCGAGGACACGGGTAAAACGCGATCTGAGTTGCGCACTTACACGTATCCCCGGGCGTTGACTCATCGGGACCATCAATCTGTATGATTAGGAGTGGCCATTTCGGAATCCGCAACGGTGCAATTGTCTCGCACGAGCACGTGTAAGTCCGACGCCATTCGCGTGGCCTGCACGTGCTCGCACATGGCGACCACGATCGCGTGGACCCGTCCTTAGGCAACTCATAATACCGCAATGACATGATGGCGCGATCCTGGAATTCCGACTCATCCTACGACCCGGATTATTTTACCCCTTGGATAAACGAAATCCTAAGGCAGCGATACCCCTGCCACACTGAGAATCGACTATGTCCTCGGGAATTCCACTGCGCCACCTCTAGCGACCCCCGGTGCTCTGATTTCCGTTCTCCCGACCACACCTACTACTTCATCCACCTGGGATTTGTCGTCATCACCACCGGTTTCCCTCCCTTCCGCCTTCTTCTTCTGTACCATCAACTCCGTGTCGTTCCGTGGCCGGCCATAGCCCTCTACTGGCCCAGCACACCTTGCGAAAACTGTCGATGACGCGGCGATCAGAGAACCCCGGAGTTCCGAAGGCCTAACCCGCACGCGCGACGAACAGCGCCACATGGCCACTCCCGACAGACGGACCCATCGGAACCCCACCTACCCCGAAGGGGCCAGCCCATGAACCGCCGTCCCCGAAACCAATAGCTCGCTCGGTCTTGAGCGAACCACGCATGCCATCCGCCTTGTAACCCGAACCACGCATGCCATCCGCCTTGTAACCCGAAAGACCCTGTCAGAGGAGATCTCAGTTCTGACCTGGGACTCCACTTTCCCAAAAATCCTTCGCACACCCCTTTTCGCACTTCCAGGCCCACACCGCACTCCGATCAGGAAGTCGCGCTGGGCGTGAGGTTGGTATCGGAGCCCGACACGTGGTTGGGTCTTAGGATTGACAGCACGTTAACTAGGCGATCTGGCTAACCGAGGGCGGCCTCGCCCCCGGAACGCGCATAGACGCGACCCTATCATCACCCGAAGCAAATCGGCCAATCGACGAGCAGCCAATATGGCTGCTAATGTGCAAAACCCGAATCAGCAACAGAATGCTAATCAACCGAATCCTAATCAACCCGCCCCACGAGCACGGGCTCCCATGACGCCACCAGATCTCTATCTATTCGATCCAGCACATCATCTCGCAGGAGCATGGCTGGCCACGCTTAGAGCATAATAGTACGATGATAACGAAGCACGGATCAACATTCCGGCTCGAATGGGAGGAGACGCTCATCATTGGTTTAATACCTACGTATGGGTCGATCTCCCGACCTTTGAATGGGATTTCATGAATCGATTTGATTATGTTCACCCAGAGCAAGCGCTCTACATGATCAAGGACCGAGTGCAAAAACCTCTTGAATCCGTTGCAGAATATCGAAACCGGTTCTACAGAATGTTTGTGAAAATTGAGCGAGGTGAGCAAGTAGGGAGAGATTTGTTCATTGATGGGCCTCGCAGCCGAACAATAAGAGCTAAGTTGCGAAAGCAATTTTCTCCCATCACTCACATGCTACAACCAATCATGGCCGCTGCGGAAGAAATGAAACGGAAGTTCGCGGCGAACTTCCTAGAAGGAGAAGATTATTCTAGGGAAGGAGATTCATCCGAAGTCGCACGAGCGAGAGCTGAGCTGGATGCATTACAAAATAAGTTCGAAAATATGGGGTTTGTGTTAGGCCCCGTTACCTGTCTAGAACAGATACGTCCCAAACGACTTACCCCAAGTGAAATCCCGAGTGTCCCTATTCCTATGATACCAACACCTATAAGGGCGTTACCCCCCCCCCACCGGTCGAGACCCCTGTAAGATCGAGTGAGTCCGCAGCTATTTTTGAGCTCACCAAGACGCTAATTAGCTTGATTCAGGAAAGCAAAAAGGAGCAGCGAGAGCACAATGCTCGCCTGGAAGCCATGATGAGGAACATGCGGCCCATTGCGGTGCGTGCTCCTCCGATTCAGCAAGGATTAGCCCCGGCACCCGCTCTTGGGGGAGTCGCAAGCAATCTGAACGTCTGTTACGCATGTCATCAACCAGGGCATCTAGCCTGTGATTGCCCTCACAGGCCTCCGCAACAACGTGTCGAGGTCGCGCCGATGGCTGCAGCCCCCATCGCTAACGGACCAGGACGAGTCAGAGCTTTAATGGAAGAAGTAGAGGGTGGGGGAAGTGCCCTAGCCACCACGGAAGAGGCCGCCGAGCTCATCCCGTTAGATCAGTACGTATCACTTGGTTATCCCGGCCTTGGAATGATCAGAACGATCAGACCAGCGCCAGAACAAAAAGAAGTGGTGACCTTCTCCAGCAGAGATGGAGTCGGGAGGACCCACCTTCGTCACTGGGGAAATCGATGTGCTTAACATCGTTCGAGCCTTGGACCACCGGATTTCGCTTCCGATCGGTCATTTCCGATGGGGATTTGCAACACGCCTGCCACGTTTCAACGAGCAATGAACATGACATTCCAGAACTTCGTCAACAAGACGCGGCTAACACAGGGGATGATCAACTTCTGCGTGATCGTGTACATGGACGATATCCTTGTCTACTCGGAGACCTATCACGGGCACGCGCAACACATCGAGTGGACATTGGGAGCGCTGAGAGACGCAGGGTTCAAGATCGCGCTCGAGAAAAGCGAGTTTTTTCTCTCGGAAATTTTGTTCCTGGGCTACGTCGTGACACATGGAGGACTGCGGTCGGACTCAAGAAAGGTTGTGGCGGTAAGAGAAGCCCCAGTTCCCACGTCGCTGACACAGGTTCGAGCCTTCTTAGGGTTGGCATCGTACTATGGTCGCTTCATCAAGGGTTTCGCCGCGATTGCACGACCACTAACGAACCAACTACGGAAGGACCAGCCTCTTAGTTGGGATGCGGAGTGCCAATAGGCTTTCGCGACCCTCAAGGATGCTCTGGCAACGGCCCCTATTTTGATTCGGCCGGACCCCTCGAAGCAGTTCATTCTCATCACGGACTGGCAGCCGGAACCTATCTCCGCTATTCTAGCGCAGAAGGGGAACGATGGTCGTGAACACGTCATCGAGTACGCGTCTCGCACGGTACCGGACGAACGGAGGAATGACTCGGCACCTCAAGGCGAATGCTATGCAGTAGTCTGGGGAATCCAGCACTTCCATCCGTATCTCTACGTTCAGAAGTTTCGTCTCGTAACAGATCACGAACCTTTGCTGGCGTTGAAGAAACTCACTAATTACATGGGCATGATTGGCCGTTGGGCGGTGCGACTACAAGAATACGACTTCGATATCGTCTATTGAAAGACAGAGCAACACGGCAACGAGGATGGACTAACACGTCTGCATCGACCTGCTAAAGTACCGAAGGGCGAGGAAATTACAACGTGGAAGGAGCCGGACTTGACAAACGAGTCTAAGTACGGACAAGTGGCAGTTCTCCCACGTGGCAAGAAGCAAAACGGTGGCAATGGGTGATGGAGGTAACCCCACTACCCCTCTTTCGCCCCTTTCCTCTTCGTCTCTCCTCTCCCTGCTTGACAAATTTTGCTATTTTTGCGAAGCTATCTCCCGCGTGTACTCGGTCTCCATGCGTCCTAACGGGGAAGGGTATGCGGACTGGATAGATTGTCGACAGTGTGTCGCACGAGCCCATGGCTCGTGCATCCAATACAGAAACGATAGTAAACCGTGGTTGTGCCCCTTGTGTCGGATCGACAAGATTCCGACCGAGGCTTGCTTTTTGGATGCCACGTCATAAGGGTTGGAAAGGACCCGGAGGTTTAGAAGGGCTGAAGTATGGACTGATATTGCCTTGATTGCCACCCTAGTTGGCAACCCCCTCCAGGATTTCACCAAGGAAGATCGGAGGAGGGCCAACGAGAGGGCTCGGGATTACAGATGGATAGAGGGCAGATTAGAAAAACAGAAAACAGACGGCAGTGGGATTTGGATGGCTGTACCGCATCCGTTCATGAGGTATGACTGGGTTAAGACGGCACATGAAGAAACTGCGGCTCATTTCGCCGTACGGATCACAGAGTCGGCTATCGACAAAAATGAGTGGTAATGGTCCAATATCCGCGACGATGTGAAGTACATCGTCGCCAACTGTCAAGTCCGCGCCGCTGATAAGGCGTCGATTCAGCCGCCAAGATCGATAGTGCCAACGGTAGTTGAACGGCCATTTCAAAGAGTCAGCATGGACACTACCGACATAGTGGTGCCCCCTGGTCCTAATAGGTGTGAGTATTCAGTCCTATTGGTATTTGTCGACCACTTTCGAAATGGATCGAGGCCTAGCCTTGTCGCACGCGACAAGCCGCCGAAATCGCGCAGTACGTCAACCGCTTTCTCGGGATGCACCAGGATACGGAAGAGATCCTGACCGATAACGGGGCCGAATTTAGGGGAGAGGTACTGAGGAATCTGGTCATACATGGCGTCACTATACGAACACTGCACCCCACATGTCACAGTCAAATGGGCTGGTAGAAAACGCGAACAGGGTGATAAAGACAACGTTTTGACGGAATATCACGGCGCGAGATCCAAGGCCCTGGCCCGATATCGTCGACCACATCCTGGCGGTCCATCGCGGTACACCTCATGAATCGACGGGGCTAAGCCCCTTCCAATTAAGGACCAATAGCGTCACTTGCGTTTCGATACCAAGCCTCCTGGATGAATCTACACTGAACCGGTGACCCACTAGGGCCACGGCTCGGGACAAGGCCAAACGACACTTGGAACTAATGGAACGGTCCCTACCCAGGCTAGCCCGAAAACGGCACAGAATGACCGAATTGGCCCAAGGACGACAGGTCCGAAGCTACGAGGCCCGGAATGGCAATGCAGGCCCATGGCCCCAATACAAATTAAGGGGCACTGTGCAGGTGAGGAAATGTGCTCGCCAGGATAAGCTAGCGCCACGATTCTTCGGGCGATTTCGCGTGATCGAACTCGGACCGAACGGCGTGAACACCACGCGACTTGCGCCTGAGGTCTCCGGCGGCCGATCGGCTCGCCCGATCATCCGCCACGTGTCCTACCTCCGTCCCCTTCCTTCTTCTCCATCTTCACATTCACCTGATTCCTCCTCCACTGCGGAGGAAGGCAACGACTACCTCTCTCCTATCTCTCTGTCTCCTTCTTGTTCTTTCTCTATTACCCCGTCACCATCGCCATGAGCTTTGCAACGGAGCAAGTGATCAGCGTGCGGCTTCTTACTCCGCGGGGGCGAATCAGTGTCAATTGGCAGGTGCAGCGGCCCCATCTCTGCTCTGATCTCCTCCGATTTGCAGCTTTCTTCAGCACGGCGGCGGTCTACGCGGCGACAGAGCTCCGATTCACGGAAGAGGCAACTACGCGCGTCCTGGCCGAGATCTCGGCCTTCTGACGGCTATCCCCTCCTGGGATTAGCCATATCGCCGTCGTCGTCGTCTTTACAGGAGATATCACAGCGATTCCGCCGGCGATTCACTCCGACACCTATCGGACGTTGTGCGTCTGGGCTGGGGAAGTGCGGACATCGTGAACAGATCTCCTGGCTCGACGAGGGGATACCTCCGTGCCGGCGCATGACACGGACCTCCAGCTCCGCTCGTCTCGAAGCTCGCCAGCGATCATGCTTCTGGAGCTTCGTCCCTTCGCGCCGCCTCAATGAGTCATCGTCGCGTCTCCTATTTCGGCCTCCCCTCCAGCATCCCCACCCTTTGGCAGTCTGCGCGGGCTCCCACTCTCTCCTACCGTGTTAAGGAGAACAGTGAGCCGCTATTGAGAGAGGAGAAGTGGGACGCGTGGTGGGAAGACTATATCGAGCTTGCTTTCCGCTGGTCAGAAGCGGCCTTGTTCGGACAAGGACCAGAGCACCCAGAGGACAGCGTGGAGCTTCTGATCATCCAAGCGTGGAAAACAGCGGAGCAGGGCAATCTGCAGGGCTTCGTATTCGGGAAGGTGGAGGAGGGCAACCTCACCTTGATCACGGACGAGTTGCTGGTGTTTCTGACTCAGCTGCTGGACGATCTGCCCCTGGGCATCTTGTCACATAGTGACAAGCAGCCTGGCACCCACGTGCTGTCTCGAACGCTCGAGCCGCACCTTGTGTGGTCCACGTGTACGGAGATTGACGAGGACAACTGTCTCTACCTCTCCCAGGCGCTTTACTTGGAGATCGACGTTACCGATCTCACATTTTGGGACCCGATCGCAAAGAGAAACGTAGCGCAGGACGAGGAGATAGGGGAAGCAGAGGAAGAGGAGGAAGAAGAGGAGCCATCGGGTGAAGAACGAGATGATCCAGATTACGTACCGGAAAGAGAAGCGGGGATAGCCGACGGATCGAGCCAGCCGCGGGAAAAGAACGAAGAGGAGGAGAAGGTAAAACCAGATGAGGAAGAAGAAGAAGAAAACGAGCAAATGGAGTCGGAGTACGAAGGATTCGAGGGTGAGGTGCACGACACTGCTCGAGAACGAGCGCAAGAGCAGAGCAAACGGAAGCGTCAGGAGACCGCAGAGGCAAAGCGACCCGCGACAAACGTTTCTCCTGTCGATCGGTCGATCGGGGACCCGTGGCGTGATCCGGGGCTGCCAAAAGAAGAAGACGATGGAACCGCAGCAGAGGGATCGCGGAGCAGAAGAAGAAGAAGAAGTGAATCGCCAGCTCCCTCTGGCTCCCCGTCTTGGTCCTCCATTCGTCTACATCAAGATCTCAGCGTTCGGGCTTCGTCCCCGGTCGTTCTCTCGCCGACCCTGTGACTACCTCATGCTTACCCGTCTTCCCGATAGACCCCCGTTCCCCGATGGTTGGTGTCCTTTCCCCCATCACCTCTTCTACCATCTCTACGCTACCCGCCTTCTAGTCTCCGTTTATCCGCATGCGATTACCCGCTCTGTGGTTGATTCCTTTCTCCTTCATATGCTCCTGTTTAGTGCAGATTGGCGGGAATATAACCACATACAAATATATCGTACTATATCTGGGACTATTCCCGCCTGCGAAAACTATGAAGATTTTCGCGTCGTCGCCCTGCGACGGACCCTCTCCACCCCGACTACATCGCCGCCTTTCGCCATCTTCATGAGGTCCCTCGCTTCCCCCACATCCATCACTCCTTCCACTACGCTACCCTTCCTGATTTCGCCTCTCTCGCCATCAATCGATTCATGCCCCCTCTCCCCATGAACAATCCGCCACCTCCACCCTCGATGATTCGACTGCCATTCCCTGGGAACGTCTAGGGTCTAGGGTCTACCCTCCTTTGTGCACTGATGCAAGGCTAATGGACATGTGTCATAACAGCGGCACGTGTAATCCCCCTCCTTGGAATGTCGAAAGCCCACCCTGAGGAATTGGTAGAAGAGCAGTGTTGCCACATGGATGACGTCCACACTCAATTGAACGGCAAGTGGCATAGAGAGAGATGCTCCGCGTGTCGATCGATAAGAGAAATTGACACGTGTCAACAAGCAAGCAGGAGCTTGCTAATATTGGAACCCCTTGGGCGTCACATATGTGACGAACCACTTTTTGAAACGCACGACTCTCTGCTCGGTTGCAATGAGGGGTCCTAAGTTGGGAAAGTTGGGCCAATTACGGGAGATCGGGATCGGTGATATATTGCATCAGTGTCCTTGCTTTTTCGTCTTTTTCGTCGCTTCTTTTCGAATGGCTGGGTTCGGAGCTGGGTGTGTCCTGGGATGGCCTGTTGATTGATTGGTCGGCTGGATGGCTGGCGCGCCAGTGAGCGCACGATTAATAAATGTTAACGTCGTTTCTTTTGTTTCGGTTCCAAACTTTTGGGCGCGGACATCTCGCGGGAATTTGCTTCGTTCTTTTTTAATTTTCTTTTGAATCTTTTTCGAATTTTGTCGAGCCCCGATGGCTCTCGGAATTTCGGACTTTGCCTCTGGAATTTGTGCTTTTGCTTCTTCGCATTAGATAGGAATTTAGGAATTTAGTAATTATGATTTTTCTTGCCACGCGGCGCCTTTTGTCTACGCGCTTCTTCATGCAGCTGCAACGGTACTCTGATTAATAGGCGCCTTTAATCGTGTGCGTAACTGTAATTTTGGGCAAGCGCCATTGTAACTGTATCTTTCTTCTTGCGCTTTGTCTTTCCCGACCTCCTTCTTTTTTTTTTGCTGCGCTTTTGGTAGCCGCGGTCTGCATGATCGGATCGATGCGTGGAGAGCGCCTACGACCCCCACGCTGCAATCAGACCATGCAGACATAGGCAAATTCCTCCCCCTTCCCTTCTTCTAAGTCCTTGTAATTCCGTGTTCTTCGCGCATGCATGCACGCCATAAATTCCGGCTGCGCGATTAGTTAACTCTCTTAACCAGTTGTTGGAAGCTCGGGGTTGCGCGATAAGGAAGGGTGGGCACACGAGCGAAGTTAGAGGTGAGTAGAGCAGGAGCCGGGCGACCCGACGAGCTGGTGCCGAACGCGAGGGGTTGACGCGGGCCACGACGGACTGTGGGCGTGGGCGAACCTGACGGTGCGGGAGGACTAAGCGGGGTGACGACTTCATGGTTGGTGCGCAACGACGGACTGTCCGCATCGGAGAAGAAGAGAGAGAGGGAGAGAGAGTTGAGGTGCATGGACGCGGATTTGCTGATTCTTTGTCTTTTCCCCCTCCCTCCCTGTGTACATAAATTTTGAATTGCGGCTCCAGGCGATTCACCCGTTTTTGTTTTTTTTCCTTCTGTTTTTTTAAACCCGGACTTGGGTTTTTGTGCTCACACTCTTCTTTGCGATTCCCCTCTCCAATGCATTATGAATGTATGGACGCCATGTTTCGATCGTTTCTGATCTCTGTTCTTGCCTTTGGGGTACTGTGTGTATGATTACTGAGAATGCGGATGTATGGAGGCCATGCTTGCTTGTTTACATTTTGCGGGGAATCTTTTGTCTTTGCGTTGTCCATCGCATTCGATGCACACATATGTAGAATATGAATTTTGCGCAATTGATGATTTTGTCCGTGTGTTTGCTTGTCTTTGGATCGAGCTGTTTTGTGATCACTGCATCTTGCATAACCAGAACATCCCGGAGTGATTAGACGGTCGGATATCGGGCTTGTGAACGTCGCGCGAGAGCACGGGTAAAACGCGATCTGAGTTGCGCACTTACACCTATCCCTGGGCGTCGACTCGTCGGGACCATCAATCTGTCCGATCAGGAGTGGCCATTTCGGAATCCGCAACGGTGCAATCGTCTCGCACTAGCATGAGTAAGTCTGACGCCATTCGCGCGGCCTGCACTTGCTCACACGCGGCAACCGCGATCGCCGCGGACCTGTCCTTAGGCAACTCATAATACCGCAATGACATGATGACGCGATCCTTGAATTCCGACTCATCCTACGACCCGGATTATTTTACCCCTTGGATAAACGAAATCCTAAGGCAGCGATACCCCTGCCACACTGAGAATCGACTATNCCTAAGGCAGCGATACCCCTGCCACACTGAGAATCGACTATGTCCTCGGGAATTCCACTGCGCCACCTCTAGCGACCCCCGGTGCTCTGATTTCCCTTCTCCCGACCACACCTACTACTTCATCCACCCGGGATTTGTCGTCATCACCACCGGTTTCCCTCCCTTCCGCCTTCTTCTTCCGTACCATTATCTCGGTGTCGTTCCGTGGCCGGCCATAGCCCCCTACTGGCCCAACACACCCTGCGAAAACTGTCGACGATGCGGCGATCAGAGAACCCCGGAGTTCCGAAGACCTAACCTGCAGGCGTGACGAACAACGCCACGTGGCCACTCCCAACAAACGGACCCATCGAAACCCCACCTACCCTGAAGGGGCCAACCCATGAACCGTCGTCCCCGAAACCAATGGCTCGCTCGGTATTGAGCGAACCACGCATGCCATCCGCCTTGTAACCCGAAACCGCCCTCTTCGCCAAATTGCGCTCGTGCCCCCGAAAGACCCTGTCAGAGGAGATCTCAGTTCTGACCTGGGACTCCACTTTCCCAAAAATCCTTGGCACACCCCTTTTCGCACTTCCAGGCCCACACCCCACTCCAATCAGGAAGTCGCGCTGGGCGTGAGGTTTGGGCGTCACAGTGCAACGTTTAATCACATTGGTACATTGGTTGGTCGGGTTGACAGGTGACCAGCATTGCAGGATATTGTTGTTGTTGTCAGCGGGCCCATGGGTTGGAGGTGGGTTGGGGTGCCTTTGTTTTTTTTTTTTTTTTTTTAACCAGGCTCGGTGCCCAAGGCTTGATATTACCAATAATCAGATTGGGTCCGGGGTCCTCACAATCTACCCGGAGTGATCAAACCGAAAACTGCTGAGAACTGGGCTCATCGTCCCTCAAATAGTTATGATGATGACCCTGATGATACTGATGATACCACAGATAATGATGCTAGATTCAAATATATGAAATATATAAAAGATTATGCTATATCAGCTATTCTGGCCTCCTAATCCTAGAACAACTCCTAGCCCTCCCTGCACCAGAACACTGTACCTTAGAGACAAAACCAACCTACCCAACGTCAACCTTAGCTGATCTCTTCTGGCCACCTTGCAGCCCCCCCCCGGTTCACCACTGGAATGCCTTCCACCCTCAGCAAACCCCAGATCTTTCTACAAGGCCTCACACTCCTGCCATTTGTAGGTTACAGGGCAACGCCCCAGCTCCGGCCAGCGTCGTTCTGGCATCAGCAAACCAAGGGCACAGAACAGAGCAACTCAGCAGATATTAGTCCAGGTTGAATCATCTTTGAAGTCCTATATTCCGAATGTGGAAGAATGCTAGATGCTGTCAAAATTTCAGAACACCAAAATATAGAAAATATAAAAGACTATGTTATAACAGCACTTCTGGCCTCCTAATCCTCGAACCTTCCCAGCCCTCCCTGCATCAGGACATTACATCTCAGAGACAATACCCTCCTTACCAATGTCTACCATAGCTGACCTGTTCTCGCCACCTAGACTATCCCTGGCCCCATAGGTTGTCAAGGCAGCCCCCCCGGTTCGCCACTGGATTGCCTTCCTCCCTCAGCAAATCCCCAGATCTCTCTACAAGGCCTCACACTCCTGCCAAATTGCAGGTTACAGGGCACTGCCCCCACACCGGCCAGCGTCGTTCTGGCATCGCCAAACCAGGGGCAAAGACAAAGCAACTCTGTAGATGTCGGTCCCGATTCAATCATCTCTAAAATCTTATTATCCCGATTAAGGAAGGAGACAAGATACCGCCGAGAATTACAACACACCAGAAAGCATGATATAACATGGATGATGATGATGATGATGAAGATTTTGTTGATGAGATGATTCATACAAAATCCCTACTCTCCCTTCCTTCCTCCGTTCTCTCCACTCCCCTGTCTATCCCTTTACCCTAATTTGCCCCCGCTAGGATTTGATGCCCAGCCCCAGAAAAGAGTAATCCTCACAATCTGCCCGTGCTCCCTCCAGGGTTTCACCACCCACCTAATGAAACCCCTGCAGAGATGGGCTCTCCCCCTCCCCCTCACCAAAATGACATTCGCTTGGATTTTGTTGATGACGAAGAACAGCATGCTAAAGATAAAGATAATGAGGAAGATAATGACGACCCTCTTATTTGCTGATGCGAAAGGTGAACGATGCCTTGAAGAACAACATCTAATAATAACAAACTAATAATGATGATAATACTCATCATCATAATGTGCCTGGAACACCGATTCTTTGCGAATGCAAAGCCGGGCTACAAGCTCTTTGCCTCTCAGCTGCCAAAGCCGCTTGCAAAGTGCCATCAACACTCTCTTCTTCTGAGTCGTCGGCATCAAAGTCCTCACCATCCACAAAACAAGTCACATAACCTGCGATTGTAAATGCCCCGAT